CCCAACGGCGCTCTTGACGTTCGCGCTCCAATTCGACCACGAAGGTGTCTTGTGCAAGAGTTCTGATATTATTCATGATCTCGTTATATTCCCGAGTGATAACCTCGCGCCGTGCGTTAGACAATACCCCCTTGCTGAGCTCTGTCTGGTGATTCTCGGCGTCCTCGACCATGGACGTCAGACCATCCTCGATCTTCGCTCGTAGTGCATCCTTCCACGCTTGATCTGGCTCTAATTCAGCTCTCATATTGTTATGTGATAATAACGGTAGCGGTGTAGGAGATGCCAACTTTGCCATCTAAAAAGATTCAGGGCTGATTGAAGCTAGCAGGAAGAGAGGGAACAACAGTCAGCTGTAGCCTGAGTGGACCACAAATAGAAGACAGGGGCTTATTAGACAGGAGTGGGGTCAGACTGCCTCGTGTTCAGTACACGCGTCGAATGATGGACGGACTTTACTCACCGGCTTCGCCGCTAACGTTAGTGAGGGATCCGGATGAGTCTACCCCATGATCATTAACTTTTCCCCACTTTCGGAGTCCTTACCTATTCAAATTTATTCAAGTGATTTGAAAGATGTCTGTATAGATTCACTGACTACTTCTATCAATCGAGTTGGCAGATGGTATTTTATGCAGTTAAGCACGGTGTGCAATGGAGAGGGAATTCGAGCGCCTTCCAAAATCGGCAACAACAAAAAAACATATTTCATAATAAAACATACCTCATTGCGTTTTATTCCTGTGCAAACTTCCGAGACTCACCCAGATTGAGACGCAACACCATGATGTACAGTTCGCCGAGTCTATCGACTTAATGTCATCGACCTCTACTTCGAGTCGTCTTTGTCTCAGGTCTACATGTGCGGGCGGAACACGAACTGCCGGAGCCCAAGGAACAGAGCATGGCCCCTTACATATAATATACTAATTAGTTCATCACCGGTCCCACCTATTCTGCGAAGACATCCACACCTCAACGTTGCAACGTTCAACCCTTCATCCAAACCCAGAACGCCACAGCTAAGACCCCAAACCCCAAACCCCAAACCAACCACCGCCTCCTTGCGCCCTCATATACATACTTCTGTGCTCAGGCGGACTCGCATAGCATACTGGCTCTCCCCCGCCCACCCTCAATGACGTCTTGGGAGGAATAGGCAGCGGACCCACCTCGGTGGGAGAACGACGTCGATCAGGCGCTCAGAGAAACGCGAATGTGCTCTGATCACTGTGGTAAGTCGTTTAGTTGGATATGTGGGTCTGGTTCGGAGCTGGCTGTGTGGATGGGTCATCACCACGAGCTCCGCTGGCCGTGTCTCGCCTCAATCTCTTTGTCGTCCCTCCAGGGAAAAAATCCGACACGACACGGCAATCGAGGACCTTTCGTTTGTTTCGTTGCCTCGCGATCGTGGATTGTGCAGTCATTATTCATTGTTTATGGGTATAGTCTCACCTGGACTTTTTTCTTCCTGTCTTTTTATTTTCGTGGTACATCGCCTTTACCTTTCTCTCTTTCCTTTTATACCTTGATTATACCTTTCTCCTTCACTGGCTCAGTCCCACCTGCTGCATAGCTGCCTGTTTCTACTTCTTGTTGATGTCCCCGCTGCTCGTTCGTTCCCTGTCGTCCTGCTTTAACCATTCTTGGCATTACTGCTGCCACTCCCGACGCCGCATTACCATACCACGGTGCCTCGTCTGCTATCGTCATTATGACCGCGACCATCCTTGTGTCACCACCGCCCAATTCTACTGCCCCTGAACCTCAAACACACGCGCACAGGCTCTGTATCTTCACATCGTCACCTCATCTCATCATATGATATGTACAACCCACATATTCCTTTTCTTTTTTTTCATGCTTATCTTGTTTGAATACATGCTCTCTCCAGACACTCGCTCGTATCTGTATTTTGTCCTTTCCTATCCCGTTGTGTCCGGCGGATTTGTATCTTTATTCAGATGCGCACGCACTCTCAGTCTTTACACTCTCCATTATCTCCTTGCGCAAAAATAAGGCGAAGATGACGGGGGAGGGTGTATCAATGCATTTGTATACAACTCAGGCTATACTGGAAAAGAGAAGAATGCATCACTCATCAAGCCTCTTTCTTGACGGTGAGTGATGCACTGTGAGAGCGATATAAAAGGTCAGGAGTACAACAACTTGAACGCAACAAATATACAGCATAGGAAAATATTTGGATGAGTCGACCCAGGTTTGAACTGAGGACCTTCTGTGAACATCAAATGTTAGACAGATGCGATAACCAACTACGCCATCGACCCATAGATATTACAGTTGCGAAAGAGAGGCGCGCCTTAGAAGCATAAGCTGTCGGTGAATATGAATTAAATAAAAACTTTCTACCTTGGTCTTAGTGAGTCGACCCAGGCTCGAACTGGGGACCTTCTGTGTACTCTCCAAATCCTCCTATGTAAGACAGATGCGATAACCAACTACGCCACCGACCCACTTATTAGTAAAAGAGAATGATTGGGACAGAAGCCGAGCCTAATGCTCACTAGAAAAAAACTTTGCTCAGATGGTTACCTATGAGTTGGCTCAAGCTCGAAGTGGGGGCCTTCTGTGCTCGTGAAGACAGAGGTCAAAATGCAAGACAGATGTGATAACCAACAACTATGCCACCGACTCATTTACCTGGTGCTTGTGGACGTTTGCTGATGGGCTGATCAGTTAGACTTGTCAATGCAAAAAAGGGAGAGATAGAGGTTCCAATCCTATGAGTTGACACATGTCCGAACTGGGGACATTCTGTATGCATTTCCATGGACCACATCATGTGAGACAGATACAATAACCAGCTACATCATATTTGGATCTCATTTCCTAAACCTGAGCCAAAGGCTATGCCTGACGTTCACATTGAACGCTAGCTCCACTGACATGCCGGGGCAATGTAGAGAGCAGTGGAAATCGCTTGACTTAAGAGTTCAGCACTGGCACAGTCAATCAATGTTTCACAATTCAGAATTTGAATCACTTCCGTTGGGATGACATGCGGCACCGTGTCTAATGGCTGCAGAAAGGAAAATACATGTAAAAACACTGTGTCCGCTTTTATGGAAATCAAGGCTAATATAACTTATAAGGCAATGTGAATGTGAATTGGTCACTTTACCAGCCAACACATTGAAATCAGGATGACGCCACAAACTTTGACTGGGAACTCCATTTTTGGTCTATGGCTATCTTACAAAGGTGTGGTAGGTGCATGGATTACATGGTTGCAAGACTTTTTGTAGCAATTTATATATATATGGCAAGCAGCCGACGCAACTCAGAAACAAGATCGACCTTTGATTCAACTGTGGATGGGTATTTGTAACTAACAGCACGGCGAATGTAGAGGAAGGTTATCGTCAGGGAAGTTCCCTCTGACAGTGTACTTTACTCACCTAGAGTGAGGTTGTCAAGTCGTAGTGGGAGTTCCCTGAAGAGACTAGGTACTCGGTTCACATGATCGCCATACCTCAGGTCCTTACATTGGCTGTGTGAAAAACTTCTTTTTAATGGGGTTCAAAGTTTACTTTTCACGAGACCAATGAGTGGGACGTGTCGCGACTGCCCACGTGCGTGACAAACCAGTGTCTCTTAGGGACTGCCCACTACCATAACCTTCTTCCTAGGTGAGTCTCAAGTGTTGGGCAGAGGGAGTGCCCTCTAATCATAACCGATTTATTAAGCCGGAGCAACGTAGATAACTATTTTTCTCCTACCATTGGCTTCAATAAAGCAAAAAAAGCCATGAGTCGACCCAGGTTTGAACTGAGGACCTTCTGTGAACCATCCATCCTTTGGACCATGTTAGACAGATGCGATAACCAACTACGCCATCGACCCATGACACTCAATCGTGTCAAAAAATGATTGTTCATCATTTGCTGACTCTTTTATGTCATACTCTTTAGAATGTGAGACTTCACAAGTAACTGAGAATGGATTCTTCCGACTGGCTGAGGGCTCGGGAGATCACTCTTGACGCAAACTTCATAGCTTTTCCCTCTAGAAGTGAGCCTGAAAGCCCTGCAGGATATCTTTGATGGCCGCTTTCGGTTCGGACTTGAAGGTTGAATAAGGTTCCATGTCTCTGGGTATGTTGTACCGCAAATTGCATGCATATTCATTCTTGTGCGTACAGCTGACTTATTTGTGCTCTTGATATTGTACTTCTTTTCGGTATGTCTTCGTGCAAGCTGTCTGTCTGTATTTCATAACCAGCTGAGATCTCAGGCTCTTTTTAGTACTTTACAGTATCGACCTGACGTGTTCTCCGTATGTTTGAATTGACGTCCTAGACTCGGACGTGGTCACTTACCAATGATGATCCATCCTGCCATTTAGATTCTAGACATCTGTCGCGGTGCACCTCGCCGCTTATGACACGATGATCAGTCCAAGATCAGTCAGGTCATTTTTCATTGGTGAAAGCATGTATGAAGACCGTGTTTCTGCTCGAGTCAATCCATTTATGACCTTAATCTTCCACAATAATGAGTCCATATCACATCTTACGTAGGTTCACGAATTCTGGCAGATACGAAGACATACCCTGGGGCTCTAGTGCCGTTTCCTGTGACTTCGCGGTGATACAATCGTGGGCAACAGCAAGAACTGGGATATCTCGGCAGCAGAACTTGCAAATCCCGAATTCCATTACCGTTGGCCAATCGTTGCATTTTTATTGATTAACTACTTGTCACTTGGGGCCTATGGAAGCATCATACATGTTCTAGAAGCCGCTGTCTATACGATATGGACAGTTGAAACGATGCTGAACTGGGCTCGAGAAAACTCAAATTCTTACCGTGATCAAAAAAGCGAGCTTCCTATGAGATTGAGCCGTTAGGTAAAAGCAGAAAAGCCCCGAGAGATTGACCAATCGAGTACCCAAAAGATTGCTGATTGTTCGCATGCTAAGAAACAGTTCTATGTCGAAATGGAAGAGATCGATGAGATCGGTCGTATTAAGTTGGGTGATGGCCACATAGTGCCAATGAAAGAAATGCGACGATCAGCGCGGTGTTGACTACTTATAGATAACTAGGGGTGAGCTCCCGACGATAAATCGAAGGCCGCGGTACGTACCTATGACGATTCATGACGAAAATACCGAACTGATGAGTAAGTGCTGGGTGGCAGGAAAGATTTTGCGGGTAGGGCGGCCCCGATAGTAATCGAACGGTGGAGAGAACTTCCGGACGTTCATTAATCCTCATGCTATTATTACAGAGAACGACAGAATGCGAAGAGAAGGTAATTGTTTCATGCTGTGAGCAGTTGGAAAAGAAGGTGGGCAGCCGTAACACATCTCTTTTGTTCCTTTTTTGAACTCAATACTGCCGACGGCGAAGTTGAACACGTGAAAAAGGTGAGGCATCCCGAACACCAGGAGTGTGAGAATAAAAGGCACGATTGAAGAGTAGGGAGAATACAGCTGTGCCGAAGAAACATTGAAGTTGAATTGATAATGTCAAGAAGATGAGACGAGTGATGCTGTAAACGCGAGAATCCTAGCGGTATCAAACTGTCACGGAAGTGACGTCATACTTGCCTTACTCGAACCCCCACCATGGGAGCCCTAAGTATGGAGCTACCTCTTTGCGGGAACTTGAAAACGAGCCCAGGGGGTTTTCGCGCTATACCAAGCATGATGGAGCGCTTTGTGTAAGCAGGAATTGTACACTTGATACCGAGATCAGACCGACGAGGTTTAACGTGTGTCAGAGTTGGAAAATGGAGTAACTTAGATGGGTGTTAAGAGAGATCCCAGATATTTGACCTCGCAAGTATAGTAAGAGTGCAAATTTTCTTTTGCTGGAAAAAATAAGAACATAAGCAGACCTAAGCTGGAGGGAGTCTGTGTCGGAACGCGAAATGTCACGATTGTCACACATTAGAGTTCTGTGGAGTTTTGTGACACAATGGAAAACAGTCACCTGTGAGTGACCCATTGAGCATGAATTTAAGAGCGTTCTTACTGCAACCACTTTTGATTTCCTCTGTTCTATGAGCCTTGCGACACATAATGATATCGAAGAAGATCAAGTCTGCGCAAAATCTCTGTCAACCCCAAAGCGACGCAAAGTCGATTCGACAGGAGCAGTTGAACCAACCTCAAATGAACTCTGGAAATGGACGCTTACCCATGAAGCTACAGCGTCATGCTTTATCAACGATGTACTTGTGATGAGGGAAAACTCGACGAAAGGCAAGCTCAACAACACACATTGGACAAGTCCTTCGGCTGATTTCACTCGAAGAATCTAATTTTTATTGGTTGGGCCGCGTACCATGCAGAAGTGTAAAGATTGCAGGACTCTTGGTGGGTGTTCAAGTATACGAAAAGCGTATACGCTACACAGGTAATTTAATACATGGTCAATCAAGGGTTGATGAGCTGAAGTCGTTTTTAGTGGACGATGGAACAGCCGTAATAGACTGTCTCCATAAACAATCGCCTCTTCGTTCCCCGATCAAGAAGCGGACAGATAGTAAAGGCTCTTCCGCGAGTTTAAAGTCGAAAATCTTACCCTTGGAACCGAAGCCCGTTGCTCGCGTTGGAAACTCTGTCATTGTTACTGGGAGAGTTGTTAGAAGATACGAGACAAGGGAAATTGTCGTTTCGAGCATAGGTGCGTATACTTTCTCTCAAACGGCCTTTAGACAACTAACTCTGCCTAGAAAAAGTAGGTCCAAACCACGAGCTTCGACACTGGGCGCATGTACACCAATTACATGCAGAACACTATTCTCTATCTACGCCCTTCGAGATTCCAAATCTAATACCAAACCGTCCTTCTTCTCCATGTAAGGTTTCTACCAGTGTGGCCCCTACTACACCTGTAAGGCCTGCGGCTACACTTAGAAAGAACTTTACTACTGGTGAAGCATCGACGTCTGCTCCAGCCACGGCCCTGTCTCGGGCTGTGGCCAGCCCCGCTCCAACGCAAACGACACCAAGCACCATTCGCACGATCAGCCCTTCCTCGTCCCAGGCTTCAAGTCCTGCAACGTCGACCGTTACTCATGTAAGTCCTCTCTTTCCAGGTATGCGTATGCTAACGATGCGTTTTGGCTAGTCTCCTCAGAAACTTCGCCATCCTTCTCGTCTTCATTCCCGAGATCTCAATGGCAATACCTTCCGCATTTACATGAAGCATTACATGGATCGCATGGTATATGCCACTCCTATGCCCGAAGCGGACGACGAATTTGACACTAGCTTCATTGACGACTGCCCTTCGACTCCAACAAAATCCTCCCTGCGTTTTGCAACCGATGCTACGCCGCGCGCAAGCTCTTCGAAGCCACCTGAAGCCACTAAAACGCCCCGGCTACGTATATCACCACTCTCCTTTAATGGACGATCCCACCCGCAGTGTTCTTCTACTCCAAAAGATACTCCCATAATGAGAGGCTTCACACTTTCGTATCTACGACGCGTCCCTGAACTGGCTGACATGGCCAAACGCGTAGTCAAAGCCGTCACAAAGCGGCGCTTACGCGAGGAACGTCAAAAGGCTAAGGAAGCTGATGCAGCTCGATCCGGTAAATCCACACGAGCAAAGCCCAGTACAGAGTCTCGCACCAACGCCACCAGTGCCCAACTTGAGAAAAACGGTCCGCGTATCAAACGGCTATATCAGGCAACGATTGTGCAGCTTCTCAAGGAGGGTAGCATTGTCCTGTGGGATGGACCTACACACCCGTGCCCTACTGCTGACAACCCAAAGGAGCAGGCAAGCGGACTCTGGAAGACCAACGTTTCATCGACATCAGCGGATAGCACGCTTTTTTCGACTGCAAGCGTGACAATCACTGGGGATGAGGGGGAAGAAGACGTACTTTCAGAACCGGAGAGCAACGAAGAAGCATATTTGCCACTCTCACCGATGTTCCTCGCAGGGGTCGTGGAAGAGGCGATTGGAAAGCTCACGCGCGCGCCAACAGTGCCGCCACTAATTGGGGGGAAGAAGCAGAAAGTCACTAGGTACGGGGCTACGACGAAAGAGGGGATATTAGCGTTCTTGAAGAAGGATGATCGGTGGCGGTATCTGAGTGAGTGGAATATAAGGGAGGCACTGGATATACTAAAGGTGGAGCAAAGGGCATGGTGTGTCGGGAGGGGGCTGTGGGAGTTGAGTCTTTGATGTCATTTTTCATGCTTATGGGACTTAAAAATACTCATCGTGGATGAACTATTATCAATCACAAGTACAAAAGGCCTGTATTTATACGATACATAATATACGAATTCAATCCCTTTCAGGCTTCGATCAAGGCTCAAATGCTGGACTATTGGACTATTGGAACCGTTTCGTAATCCACGGAGTTGAAGATGGATTATAAGAGGATAAGCCACTGCGAAATCCTCGTGTATTACTTTGCAGCACAGAAGGTTGATATAGTCGTCATTTCAGCGACTCGTCATAGATCCAGACAAGTGGAGAGGTTCTATAGCTTATGACTGGACAGACGCATGCTTCAAACAACCATCCCTTGTAGATTTTGGGATAATTACGCAGCAGTCTTCTGACAATCGCTGCGGCAAGCACAGCGCCGCTACGAACGACTGCGGAAGTGGAAGAAAGCAAGGTGCGACACCGCCACAATAATATCCGTAGTTATATAAAGTATAGATCGGCGACTTCCGATATAATCTTCGTAACCCTCCGCCACTACTCCCCCCGGTTCTCACCTTTTCTCTATCTAATACTGCTCTCATGGAGGCTTTAAAGCTTCAGAAGAAGTACCCTGAGGTCTCGCGCGAAGAGATGTTCAATCTCATCAACCGGTTCAAGTGAGACTGGATGTTACGCAATTCATAAAGGGGGGAACAC